TCTTGCAGATATTTAGCTAAATTTCTAGTAGTAGTAGCTGAGTCATTCTGAACACGTGCTCCAAGCTTTAACTTGTCACACAAGATTTATTTTTAAAACTTTGCCATCATCATTGTTAATAAAATGTCATCTGAGCCACCAGATGGAATTTGATGAAATTCTCTTAAGTAATCAATGGCAGTACTGTATTTTTTTTTACTATAAGGCACTTAAGTCCTTTAATTTACTCAAAAATTGACAGTGAGCCTTATAATCAGGTGCGCCTTTTGTATTAATTCTGTTTGTGCTCACTGACCTCGAACCGATTTTATGTGGTTATTGTGAATGAGTTGAATAAAGTTTGACTTATCTGACTGTTTTGCCTCGCTTAATGCGCCTTATAATCCGAAAAATACGGCACATGCATAACTGATTAACGTTTGGAGTCATCCCAGTTTAACATGGCTGCCACTAGGCCTGTCACGATGCCAAATTTTGCTAGGCGATTAATTGTCTCAGAAATTATTGCGATAAACGATAATATTGTTTGAAATTTGACAATAATTAGTAATTATTGTAAATTGAAGAAGAAATGTTGATTTGTTTTGCATGTAGTACCTTTTTTGACCACCGGGTGGTAGTATAAGACAGTTTAAACCGAAGGATGGATAGTGAGGGAGCGAGCAGCGTGTCTCCTTAAGAAAAATGGGAGGGAGGCTCCTTGTGACATGGGTTGTCTCTCTTCAGTTCTCAAATTGGCGGCCGCTCGGTGTGGTTTGAGCTCGTTAGCATAGCATTTATCACACAAAGCTTTTAATTATTAAAAAAAAATCAGTAAACAAGTTCTCAGCTTCTTTTTGCAGAGAAAAACAACTTTTTGCACAAAGGCACGGGTTTTAACCGTGAATTTTGGAGCTTCGACGAGACGGACATTTTTCCCCCGAGGTCGGCCTGTTAGCTTAGCTGCTTTTAACGATCTAAAAATGCAATTTTGGACGGTAAAAATAGATTTTAAAGAGAGAGGGAGGGGTCGGTGAAGAGCACCGGAGTTGAGCTTTTTGTCATCTTCAGTAGAAAGAGAGCGACACGAAGAAATGATAGCCAATAAACGAAAATGAAGTCGATAATTTTCATTTATAATGCGATTAATTGATTTATTGTTTATCGCGACAGGCCTAGTAATGATGTTTCCCTAGAGTTGCAACACATCATCATGGAAATGGCACCTTTTCCATTTCGTTTTCCTTTAGTACCGAGATGAGGGAGAAAAGGTTGAGGATGAAGATGAAGATGATGGAATGGAGGTGTTCTCCCGGAGGAAGTTGGAGTCAAACTGGGATCGTTACAAGGAGGCAGAGGGGGCGGAGGAAGAGGATGACACACCCACTCAGAAAGGAACGAACTACCACGTGCTGCTGGAGTCAGCAGGTAAGACCAACAGGATCCTGGTCCGGCTGTTCTCACAACACTCGTTATTCGCTGCTGCTGTTCCTGTCGGTGTTGGCTGCATGCGACGGATACGCCAATGAGTCCTGTCGTGCTTTGAACTCGCCTCTGTGTTTTAATTAGTTCTGCTGTCTTGAGAAACTTTAAATGTTCAGTGTGAACACTATTGTGTGTTGGCTGCCTTGTTTGTCGTTGCTAATTTCAATCCAAGTCTGTTTGGGCCCATGGGCTCTTCGCAGTCCCAGAGGATCTTCAGACAGAGTGTAGTTCTGGCTCATTAAAGCAGAGCAGGAGTTTCATCAGATGCAGTCGTCCTGACCTTGGCACCTAATGCACCCATCTCACATTTGATTTGACTCATGGTTTTTAGCTGTTTACAATATAATCAAAGTCTTGTGTTTGTGTAAACGCTGAGTCAGCATACACACAACTGTTTTCCTGTTAGAAGTTTTCATTTTTTACTTTTTTTTGTTGTTGCCAGCACTCATTTTGTCTTCTTGTGCTCCTAATAGCCGTTATCTACCGTCATTTCCAAACTATAAGCCACTACTTTTTTCACACGCTTTGAACACCGCTGCAGTGCTGCAGCTAATTTATGAATAAATAAAAAAAAAAACATTTTTTTTAAAGTCTAATGAGCTTCATGCAGCCAAAACATTTAGCCTCGTTACACCCGGGCGCTCGCATAACTGCCCAATACACATCTCTCTGGGGGGTGGGTCCTCAGGACTCAATGAGACTACCTGTATAAATAAAGTTAAAACAAAAATCTGACCAATGAAATTACAGAACAGAGAGGGGGGAACTTGGCTTCTCCTCCCCTTCCTGTTGTGCCCCTAGAGAGGGGGGCACAGTGCATAGGAGGAAGATGAAGATGGTGATCGATGACTTCCTGGTAGGCTACTGTATTTTTTTTACCAGCTGTGTTGCCAGCACTGTTCAGAAAAAAAAAAATCTGTACACATTTGTTTATCAGTACGAATTGTAGCATTCTACTGCGGTTGACTGTTGGTCACATGGCCTCAGGGAGGGATTGTGGGTAGAATTTATGTTTGTTGTTAATCATTTCGATTAGCTGTTTAACATTGTTCTTTTAGTGATTAGTCTGTTTTTGTTAGCCTAGCTTATGTGTCCATTATGTGTTAGTTTGTGTTAGGTCATTCAGTAGCGTAACCATGAGTGAGGGAGGTAGGTGTCATGAAGACCTGTGGGGTTCATTCTGTTTCTGTGTTGAACAGTAAGGCTATAAAACGCCATCTGGTGGTTGATTCTTGATCTACAACAAGAGTTGCACATCTCTCAGTAGCTGTTCAACGTGGACACCTGCAGCTTATACACAAGTGCAGCCTTTATATGTCGTTTTTTTTTTCTTTTTAAATTTAGTGGGTGTGGCTTATTCAGGTACGCTCAGTACTGTTCAGTGTTAGGGAATTCCCTGATGATTAGCTTTTAGTTACTGTTGTGCTGCTTTAGAGTTTAGCCTTTTCTGCTACTTTTAGCTACAGTTCTGCTGCGTTGAGGTTTTAGCTATGGTTTTACACGTTTTCGTTGATATCATTCTGCTTCTCGTAGCTGTTAGTAGCAAATTATAGCTACTGTTTTGCTCATTTTAGTTTTAGCATTCATTTTATGTTTAACTACGAATTTGCTACTATTAGCATCTGCTTGGCAAATTTTAGCTTTAACGTGATTTGCTCCTGTTTTGATACTCTTATTTTAGCTTTTTGCTACTGTTCTGCTTTTTAGCTTTTAGCTTGTGTTCTATGCTTTTTGCTTTTGTTGTGATTGTTTGAACTTAGCGTTCTCAACAAATTTGATCAACTTTCGATAGCACTCTGTATTCACACTGCATCAGTGCTTAAAAAAAACAAATTTTCGAGTTTTGGATGGTTCATTTTTAAAAGCCAAAGAGTGTAAAAACAAAGCAGCTCCCACATATTTAAAATTGCTGTAGAAGTTGATTCATTCAATAAAAGGAAATACTTTTGTATGTATTTTGCAATATTGTAATTAAAGATGAAGGCAAATTACTAGTGATGCACGATATTATCAGCATGGTATCGTTATCGGCCAATATTAGCGATAAAGTAAAATCTCGGATATTGGCCATTCCATCAAAATAACCCGCAGATATAAAAGGCGCTTATGACCTCACGTGCGTCATTGAGTTTAGATTTGTGAAAATTTTCAAACTTGCACTATTTGAGTGTTGTCATTGTGTTCGAGTAAATGTCATGAATAAATTTGACATTAAACATAATCCAAGTTGAAGTGTTGCATCATTTTCATCTCCCTTTTTGGCATCTGCATTTGGTAGCAGGTCAAAATGACAAAGACCACGCAGAATAATGTAGTATTTTAATTCCACAGCAGAGAAAGCTATGTAGTCTGCGTAAGTAGGTCTAGGGAGAAAAAAATATTTGTATTGGTATCGGTTATCGGCCAAATAAGTATCAACATATCGGCATATCGTATATTGCCCAAAAATTCAATATCGTGCATCCCTACAAATTATTCTGAAATTTGCTGATAAGTATCCCTAAGCAGCTTCTGCTGTTTAGTTTTTAGCAATTTCCTGACTATTTGTGGTCTGAGCGCAGTGATGATGACCTTTAACCTCTGCCTACACTCGTACTTTCATAGTGTATTTCCATTTTCATAGACTCTGTTTCTCATACTTTCTAACATTTGGCAGTTTGAAGCCTGAAACAGCTTTCTTGCTATCAGTCTGGATCTTTACACCTTTTGTCAGTTTTACCAGAAGTACCAACAACCTGCCTCCTCAGAAATCTGGACTACGGGGACCTGGAAGAGCTGTGATTGGTTAGCTTGGGTTGTTTGTGTATTCCCTGTGGCATATGTCAGCTTTTAGGAGTGTTGATGAAACAACATGAAACAAGTCTGCAGTCGATCCTTTTTACCTTAATGCTGGTTGATTTATTTTGCTGCAAAGCTCTTTTCAGTCAAATTTTCCAGTGAGATAAAATATTAAAAACGCTTGAAGTGGTTACTAAATGTGGCTCTGAAGGAGTGAATTTTGTGCTTCCAAGAAAGTCCTTGTTTTATTGTCATGCAGTTCTTCTACGTATACTGAAATTTAGAAGACGGCATCAATTTTAGGAACTAGAGTAGTTCCTCGCTACTTCGCTCATTCGCGTTTTTTCAAAATAAGATTGGACATGACACACAATTGGCTGATTGATGGATGAGACGCATGATCAGCATGGATTTTTTTTATTTAAAATAAATTATTTTAAATTATTTAGCACCTGTGTGCTGCTCACACAGCAGGAGAAACTGTCTCCTGCAGCTCCTCCTCTCTCCTCCTCCCTCATTTGTCGAACGCCGTTCTGCAGCGGGGAAGTGGGCGTGGCAGAGAGCTGAGTTCATGACGTGCTGTGCTCTTGGCATGGTATCGGCCGATATTGGCGATAAAGTTAAATATCGGCCATTCCCTCAAAATAACTCACTGATATAAAAGGCGCCGTTTTTCTTATATATATATATAATTTATTTATATAGTGTTTATATAGTGTTACATCATTTTCAGTCCCCCCTTTTGGTGTCTGCGTGCAGAATAATGTAGTATTTTAATTCCACAGCAGAGAACTCAGTGTAGTCCCTGTAAGTAGGTCTAGGAAAAAAAAAGTATTGGTATCGATTATCGGCCAAAAATCTAATATCGCGCATCCCTCTTATATATATATATATATATATATATATATATATATATATATATATATATATATATAAATATAATAAAATTAACTACTACTTACTCGTACGACTATTCCTACTTCGATGTTTTTCATGGTACAGATCCCCCGCGATGAACGAGGGACTACTGTAATAATAATATAATGATGTCATAATGACACACGCCACATCACATTCTTACAAAGCCAGGTTTGTTGTTTCCAAGTATATGACTAAGCACATGTGAATGACTCTTGCTTTTATTCACATTTCCAATGTTCTTTATTCGGTATTAATAATGGGAAATTTAGATGTACTAATGCATCCAAATCAAGCTTGCACAATAGCAAAAATCAAGAATTAATCTTTATTTTGAGTTTAGGATGGGTGTTTCTGTGATATCAACAACTTTGCTTCATTTTAGCCATTCAGGCTGCCTTCTTACACGGAGAATTACAACCTTGTTCAAAATACAGTTTAAAAATGGACTGTTTGATATAGTCCAATTATAATTCTTTACAAGTGGTCATTAAATGCAGCATAGTAAACTGGCTCTTCCACTCTGGTTTAATTTTTCAAACGGTAGGTTATTTCTGTCTTTGTTATACACCGCCGGGGTCAGAGTGCAATGTTTTCATTATAATCTCAGTAAAACTATTCCAGTGGTATGCTCATATTTTATGTGCCAAATTATTGAGCGTTGAGTTTGAGCCAAGATGGGCAAGATGCTTGTTCAGTGTTTTTAAAGTTTTTTTATTTTAATTTTATTACAAATCAATAATAATTCTTGTAATGATATACCTCTGGGCAGCACGGTGGCACAGTTCGTAGAGCTGCCGCCTCTCAGTGAGCAGGTCG